TTTGGTGAAATTAAATACACTCGGCCAATTTACTTCGGAGAAACTTTGGCATGATGCGAAACAAGGCCTGAACAAGGGTATTTATCACAGTGTAGTTTGTGGAGTGGGAAGCTGGAGGCCCCTTAGATGCCCATCTCCAAGGGAAGGGATAATAAAATAGTATGGTGTTGGACACGATACAGCCATCAGAAGCAGAAAACCAGAGGTACAAATGAGTACAGGCTAACGCTTAAGAACAGTGGTAAGGTAATAAATAAGCAACCAGACTTGGCCGGTGTTGCTGAGTAGTTAGTGTCGGCCTGCACACTGAAGAGTCTTGGGTTCGATTCCCCGTCAAGGGACTGTCCCCATTTTTTGTTTTAATTTTTTTAAAAATAAAACAAAACAAATAGACTTTTAAAGTAGACTTTATTTTTTAGAACAGTTTTAGATACACAACAAAATTGAGTGGAAAACACAGAAAGTTCCCATATATTGCCTGTGCCCTCCAAACACAGCCTCCCCACCATTGACATCTAGTGCCAGAGTCGTACATTTGGTACAATTAATGAACATACATTGACACGTCATTATTATTCAAAGTTCAGAATTTACATTAGGGTTCACTCTTGATGTTGCACGTTCTAAGATTCTGGACAAATGTAGAACATGTACCCACCATTACTGTATCACACAGAGTAGTTTCATTGCCCTGGAATCCTCTGTGCTCCAGCTATTCAACACCCCTCCCCCACCCGTGGAAACCACTGACCTTTTTATTGTCTCCAGGATGCACCTTCCACCTTCCACCCCAATCTCTGATCCCTCCCTCTGCCTTTCCTGCTTAAGCATTCAGGTGATTTCTGTCATTAGACAACTTCTGGGAGCACTTGGTGATTAGAATCCAATCCATAATCTTCCTTGCAATTCTTGTCACTTTCTAATTGACATTTATCATTACTGCTTATTCCTTTTGATTTAAGTTTCCTAGGCTAAATACTAGTACTAGTGTTCCCCCCGAATTTCTAATAGAGAACAAATTGAAATAGAGAATCAAGTCCTCAAGTCTTTTACTACTTTTGCTCAAAATGATGTTACATAATAATAACAACAATCTACACTAATAAAAGAGAAACATGGTAATTAGCCTACGACCGATACCCTTCCCATTGGCTAATCAGCATAGCCTTATGCAAATTAACTGTCAGCCAAGATGGCGGCCGGCAGCCATGCACTAAAGCGAGCAGGGAGGCTTGCTTGCTTCAGTGACTGCGAACTCCAACGTTCCCCGCCTAACTTGCCGGCCTCTCAGCTGCAACTCTAAGCAACTATGTACTATGTTGCAAATAAGA